TCTTGGATGTACAGCTGTGTATTAATGTGTGTATCTCACAACTCGGCTGATGAGTGAGGCAACATAGTGGAGGTCATCAGAGAAGCCTTCACTGATATCACGAAAGAGCTGAATGGACTGAGGCAGGTGTCGCACCGTGTCCCTGATAAACACTGCATTGTACACTGTCTGACAAAGACACACAGAAACGCAAAGTTCTGTACACATTTAACAGAACCTGTGTTGTGGATAAAGGATGTCAGGTAATACTGTAACTCCAACCTTGTAGAGACTCTGCCAATCGGTCACTTTGGTGTGAGAGAGAGACATCCTACGCAGAAGAGTCTAACACACACAAGCGCACACAAGGATTTGATTTAGGCAGTGTCATAATTTCTATGTTCACGTGGCGACACAGCAAATAGGGGGATAATTGGTCACAGATGTGGATAAAAAAGGAGGCCACTGGTCAGAGCTCTTACTGGTATGTTACTGATGTTGCGTAACGAGGACTGCAGGGTGCTCAGGGTGTCAGAGTTCCGCGGTGATGTGAAGAAACGTATCACTTCCTGTCTTCTGTGTAACACAGCCAGATCCTGTGTTGGTCGCAGAAACCACTGGCTGAGAGAAGAAGGGACATCACTTACATTAATGTTACTTCTATAAAGAAAACTAGTAGGCTTCCAGGTGGTGATAATAACCAGAGTTAATTGCTGTATGTATGCAAAAAAATAATAGTTGTGTAAAGAAAAATGGCACACAAATGTACATTCTCACAATAATCTCATAATGGAATTAGTTAAAAATGGAGCACCAAAAACAGATGATGTATTATGTTGGAAAAGCTGACATATTTATCTTGTTGCCATAGATACCAGCAGTGGTATGAAAACCTTGAAATTCCTGATACAAAAAGAAATCTTCTGCCTGAATCCCAAAACAGCAGTAAATATAAATTTGTAAATATATTACAAAACCCTTTTTTTTTTTTTTTGCTTTGGCAGTGTTTGTATCTAATGCTCCCAGTGTTCATAAGAATAAATCCACTTTCAATAAGTAGTTAGAATATGAATATTACATCAACTTTGACCAGAGAGTTATGATTAGATAATTGCTATCTTCTATGGATGATACAGACCACTTTGAATTTCTTCTGTTATTAGATTAGTTACAACCAGCTAATCTGCCTATTAGTCGTAGTCATAATAGAAGTATTAGTAGTACTGGTGGTGGTGCTGCAGCATTACTAGAAGTACCTGACATCAATCTCTCATACCAAATGCTTAGATTTGGCACAACTGTTACACAGCATGGTGGTAAAGACATAAGTTTAGTTTAACTAGATAATGAGGACATGCTAAAAGAATGAATAACCTTTTCTACTAAAGGCCTAATATTCTCTTTGGATGCAGTAAAGGTCCTTCATTATTTTTGTTGTGTTAACTGGACTCTAGCAAGAGGTGTTTCTGACCGTAGCAGTTTGGAGCCAAACTTGCACCTGCAGCGGTTCAGTATCCCTGTTACACACAGTAAGAACAAGCAAATAAACACAATTAGATAAGGCCGAGTGACAATGACTTGAACTGGTGCCTTCAGAGCTTCTTACCATAAAGACTGAGTCCCTCCTTTTCACCTGAATGCAGTTTGTACACTGACGGGTGAAGTTCTGATTTGAAGATCTGCAGTACACTACAACAAATACAAAATCTATAGCCACACCTTGTCACTTTTTTGTTTTTGCCTGCCTCACCTAATAATAAATCTGATTTGAATACCACATTCTATACAATTTCATACATTATATGTATTTATTAACTTATTTTTTAAAGAAATATTGTGTGTATCACAAACAAAAATACCAAATTAAAACAACAAACGAGAAAAAAACAACAGAAAATACAGACATAACAGAGCTATGGTTAAAAAATATATCAAATTAGAGCAAAAGTAAAATGAAAGCTCATAGATAAGCAAGTTGATATAAAAATTCTTCTTTTACAAATAATAGTTTAATTTATCTGTACTAAACAGCTGCACTGAAGGTTTTAGTTGTGAACAATTAATGCCAGTTTTGGGAGACAAGTGTCAGCTTTTAGGGACATACTGGTACATTGAACAAAGATAAATAATGTTATAGAGTCTAAGATAGGACACTCTTACCTGTAGGTGTCTCTGTCAATGCAAACAATGCCTTTACTATATTGGAAAGAAACAAAATACTTTTTAGAGAAGCAACATCTTTCATTCATAAAAACTTCTGAATCACATGAGACTGGAGTCTGGTTTGCTGGTAGATAGAGATTTAGAGAAATAGAGAGAACAGAGAAAATATAATACAGTAAATGTATGATATTATCCTACAGTGCACAGTGCCACAAATGCATGCCACTGCAGCCTGTTTGACAGACTAAAATCTGTGTAGCTAAATACAGAGCAGTACAAAATCACTCTTCATTGACAAAACTCATTATGAAGAATGTGCAATCACAGTCCTGTTAGTGTGTGTGAACATCTACATAAATGTGTGTCTTACAGTGTGTAGGCGTGGAACTGTAAGATAGGAACTCCAACACTGCTGTCTTCCAGCTCCACTCCCACTCTCCTCCTGTCCAGGCATTTCAGCAGAGCACCCATTGCCCTCAGCTACCCAACGGATGTATCCACACACACACACACACACACACACACACACACACAAGAAGACCACACAAAACACAATGATGGACAGTTAATGATCAGCTCCTGCACAACGATGGACTGATTGATATGTAGACAGCTGGCTCACCATCAGGGGAGAGTCAAAGGAGATACAGGAGGAGAGGTAGGACATTTTGTCTCTCTCTGAAATGGAGGCAGGAAGGAAAGGCAGATGGGCAGAAAGTAGCCTCTGCTTACCGACCTCCAGGCCTGCAACATTCAAACTTGTCTTCATTGCGGAAAATCATGCAAATTTAATGCAGAAATTATGCCTAAAAATTAATGAGGACATTTCGATATGATGGGTGGGCGTATGTTTACCAAAGTCAACATATGGATAAGTAACCACCTCTGGTCTATAGTCTGGGTTTGAACCTGGGATACAAAAGAGTGGAGTTTGAAAAAAAGAGAAGAAAAATTGTTTATTGTGGCAAAGAAAAAGCTATCAACAGTAGACACATGGCAGAATTGTGTCACTATAGTGTGTTCAGTAAAAGCCTTATGAAGCTGTGCAACATCGCTCTATCTTCTCCCTTATCACACTATCTGGCTGCAGTGTCAGGCAGACCTTATCTCATTTCATTCCCTTGACCCAGAAACGACTAGTCTCAAACCATGCAAAAACAAAACTTTCTGTGACATTTTTGTGTTTCTTCCCCCCAGGCTACGATAATTTCTGTCTCCCAGTACTCACCAAGTTGTTGCAGGAAGCGTGTCATGCAGCGCTCCTGCTTTGCACTAGTGATTATTACATGGGGACAAACCTCCTGGATGACTAGACAACAGAAACAGAAGCAAAAGTGGCAATTTATATACATAATTATAATTTCTGCACTATTAAAATTTGAATTATATAACAGGCTGTGTATTGTGTACCTCTGGCCAGCAGGTGGAGCTCGTAGTTGTCAGAAGTGTCTATCATGTAGTGTACAGAGGAGTCCTTACTATCATAGAAGCAGAGGCCTATCTGTCCATGCTGGACTACAACACTCAGTAAAACCTGGTAATAAACAAATACACGAGTGCATCTTACTGCTGCAACTGTTAACTACTCTGCTGGTGAGTGTGACCTATGACCTTACCGCAGGTGAGTCGTCCTCCTCTTCTTCGTCTCCAATTATGCCTGGTGGACCAGAAGCTAGCCCTCCTCCTCCTCCACCTCCTCCTCCTCCTCCACCTCCTCCTCCTCCTCCTCTCAGACTTTGCAGTGTTACCATGACCAGTTAATTCTAGATAAGAAAAGTCAAATGAAGATTGTAATTTAATCTCTCCAACGTTATATTAGTTATTTGACTATATTAAAAGGCACAGCATTCAAATTAAACTTTAGAAAACATAAACTTTAGCTAGATAATGGGCTGTTTATGTTAAATTAGTCAACAAAGCGGAGTTAAGTTAGTCCAAGTTAGTACGTCGAGCTACTGTTAGCTAGTTAGCTAACGTTACCTTGAACCAAACGAACTAACGTTAACTTAGCTTGAATATTAACGCTCTTCATTTAGTGAGCTAACACATACTCACAGTTGAGTTTGGGACTTTTTATAACAAAGCCAGCGGGTAAGTATCGTTGTTGAAGTCTGACTTACAGTTATAAGAAGATGATAAATATTTCCTGTACAGTTATCGTCAGTTAGCCAGCGCGCCATCCTTCTTGTCCTCTCTGTTGTCATGACAACAGTGTCCGGTAACCGTTAAAATGGCTTTTAAAACTATTTTATAGTGTTGAATAGTTTATAATACATAATATTTTAGAAAATAATGTTTTATTTTAAAAGTATTAGCACTCAAAGTACCTTAAAACTGTAAAGTATGGTACTTAGTAGTAGTAGTAAATGTACTGATATTATTATTACGTTAATTTCAGGAATTTATCGCTGATTTTCTTCCCCCTTGTGATACTGCTATTCAGTAAATATGTTCCCTTACTAGTAGAGTGTATACTTATAACGCTTTAAAGCCTGGCTGTTGGGAAAAACATGATAAATACTTTAATTAAAATGTTATTTAGCACTGTTGCAGGTGAGCTTGAAGCCAGGAATCTGACTCATCTTTGCCTCTGATCTGTCTGCCCACACAGGCGCTCCTTTAAAGATACGACTGAATGTGAGCAATAGAGATCAATTCATACAGAGTTTTGTTTGGGAGTTATTAATGAGGAAAACTGTATTATGCTATTTAAGGCCTCATTAATAATGTTTCCTGAGTAACCTTGGTATCACCGTTTCTTCATAGTCATCATTTAATCTCCTACTACTGAACTGCCCTTGTCCTCATTTCTTTAACATTCACCAAACCTGTAAAACCAAAATAATGACAACATCAAATTGAAATTGGAGTAATTTATTTTATACACAAAGAAAGAAACATTCAGAGCTTAAGACACTGATAGTCCCACCAAAATCCCTAAATGTCCTCTCTTCACTGTCGATGTTTTGAAATAGTTTACAGATCTAAATATTCTGAGTGAACTATGTATATATTACTTTGCAATAAATAAGATGAATAATAAATACATTTGTACATAAGTTTTCATATAAAAAGGAAATGTTCTTTAAATTTCTGGTACAAAATCTTTCCTATTGTGTGTATATGTGTAAGTGCACATTATTGACTAGAAAGCAGGTAGCGCTGGAGACGAGAGGGTAGAGGCAGTTTGTCCATTTGATTCTGCCTCTCTTGCCCTAAAAACTGACGAATTGACAGTCCACATAAAGCCATCAGGGCAGGGGGGTCACCTGGGAAGGAGAGAGAAAGAAAAAACTGTGTTATTGATGTTTTATAAGACCCAAACAGATCTAACTAAATCAGATTTGTGTAAAAAAACAATAAACTCACATGTGGCACCGTTCAGGTATCGTAGTCGTATGCTGGCTCCACCTCTCACACTGCTCACTGCGGGGAACAGCTCCACTCCACGAGGAAGGTCTTTAAAAGCTACACCGAGGAAGCTGCCGTCTACAATGAATCCCAGAGTCCCTGCGTCGGCGTCCAGGACCATCAGGATGCGCTCGGGGACGGGGAGAGGTGTCTGTGCCATCTTTGTGGAAGACTGTGGGCTAAGATCCTCCACAGCCTCAGAGTGACACCTCCTCTTCTTTCCTGGGTAAAGTCCCAGACTCTGTCCACTGTGCCAGAGCTGATTGGTTTTAAGCTCCCAGCCCCAGGACTGTGAGTCTCCACCCATCAGCACGTTGTACCCCGAGGCCTGCAGAGGGCAGTTCTGCCTGGAAATGCCCAAGACAGCGTGGCTCCCCCTGTGGTTGGGGCTCCACAGCACCTCCCACACGTGAAGCCCACTCTTCAACCCCATCTCCGCCCTCACGCCATCGCTGCTCCGCTCAACAGGTGAACGTGTCACTTCCTGTTTGCAGGCAGACAGCAAGAAGTGTGGCGAGCGGTGGACCGAGCTCCAGTGCGAGCGTCCGTCTCCTGGAGCAACCGGGGAGGAGTTGAGAATGACTGCTAGGCGAGAGGAGGTCGGGACAGCCAGCGGGGAGAAGGCTGATGAAGAGGAGGGAGGGCTGTCCTCTGCCCTGCTATACAACCTGACTGACAGTGAGAGACCCATCGGTTCAAACTGTGGCAAAAGTGTCGTCAGAGGAGAACTGTGGACAAGAAAACACTAGTTTATACACTGGGAAATAATAAGACAATAATGAAGTGACTTTGTATCAACATTTACATACAGTATGTGTATGTAAGTTAAGTTATAATAAAGTGGTGTAGAGTAGAATAGGGTAAGGTAGACTAATAAGGGAGAGAGGACTACAGTAGAGGATTATAAGTAAGGTAGAGTATAGAGAAGAAACATGTATGCTAGAGTAGAGTGAAGTAAGAGTAGAGGATAATAATGTGGAGTAGAGTACAGGAGAACAGGTAAAAGTAGACCAGAGTAAGGTAAGAAGTATCCTTTACTTAAGTAAAAGTAGCAGTACCACCAAAAATACTTGAAATCAAAACTGTATTTGGGTAAAAGTACATAAGTAATATCAGCAAAATGTACTTAAAGTACAAATGTAAAAAATAAATACCCACTATTCAGACAAAATGGTCTCTGTCAGAGTTTTATTGTTAATTATTCCTGATGCACTAATATTAAAACAGCATTTTAAAGTTGTATATGGAGTGTTTTATATACTGTTGGTGGTTTTATTTTATGTTTTAAAAAATCTGCAAATTAACTAGCCTACTAGATAAATGAGTAAAAGTTACAACATTTCTTTCTGAAATGTAGCAGAGTACCAAGTTATTAAAATACTAAAACAAGTAAGTATACAAGTGCCCCAAAATTGTCCTAAAGTACAGTACCTGAGCAAATGTAGAATTAGTTAGAGGAAGATAGAGACAGACGAGAGAGAGTACAAGAGTAATACTACTACTACTACTAATAATAATAATAAAAAGCCCCCACGTGCACACATTTAAATATGGTTCAGAGAAGGTCAGTAAAAACAAATAATGTCTTTAAATCTTACCAGCTGTTATTGCTGAATGTGTCCCTGTGCTGGTTCAACGCCGGCTGCATGCAGACATCCTCTGTGTCTGTGTATTTATAACAGCCTCTTATCAACATATCGTGCGTCTTATTTTGATTGTGGGTTTTTGGGGACGACCTCCGAAACGGGAACAGCACAGTCCCTCACTGCAGACTGACGCCACACAGAGCTGCAGAGACAAGGACGACAGATCTCATGACGCGTGTGTGAACTCATGAACATAAAACCACCGTTTTATAATAATATTAGAGATCACCAGACACCAGAGAGGAGGGTCTCATTGTCTGTCCTTTATCTGGTTCTGTAGTGAATGTAAACATAAATGGCGAAACACAAGAGGAGGATCAAACTCGGGCTTTTAAATAACAAGAAGAGGAAAATAAAATAGAACCCAAAGCGGCTCATTATTGCAGAGAGCGCATGCGCGTAACAAGAAACCGCAGCCCTGAATTCTGACTTACAGACGATGTTGATGCGCTATTGTGGGTGGAAGAAGTACTCAGTTCTTATAGTTAAAGGTACATTTAGGAGGATGCACTGGCAGCAATGCAATATAGAATTCATTGGTATGTTTTTATTAGTGTATAATCAGAGACACTCCACAAGAAGAGATTTGAGATAAACAATTAACGTATGTGATTAGATGTTTTTTTTCCCAGCATTATCATGTATCTTACTACCTTAAAGGTCCAGTGTGTAACACTTTGGAGGATGCATTGGCAGAAATTGAATATAATATTTAAAGGTATGTTTTCATTAGTTTATAAACAATCTGAAAATAAAAACTGTTGTGTTTTTGTTACCTTAAAATGAGCTGTTTTTATCTACAGTGGGAGCGGGTCCATATCGAACTGCCATGTGGCTACAGTAGCCCAAAACAGACAAACCAAATACTGGCCCTTAATGGGGCTTTTTACGAGTTTTGCGACCCCATTTGTTTCAAATGGTTGCAATCTGCAATTTTGACTGAATGGTACGCACTGGTCCTCTAAACTAGTAATACTATTGTGTAAAAATACTACAACTAAACGTCTTGCATTAAAAGTCTTACGTTAAAGAACTTGCATCTAAATATACTTAAAATGTAGGCAGAATGAGCCATTTCAGAATCATGTATATTACCAGGATCATATTTTTCTTCTTTTATTGATAAACTGTCTAGTTATTATTTTTATTTTTTTCAATTAATTGATTAATTCTATCTAAGTAACATAAAATTTAAGAAATTATTGAAATGTATTGAAAATGTCCAATGGAGTTCAGTCTCAAATCTTCAAATACCTTTTGTTAGACCAGTTGTTCATCACCCAAAGATTAGTTTACTATCGTTGAAGAATAAGAGAAAATAGCAAATATTAACATTTGGAACCAGAAGGGAACATGGAGCCAAAAATTAAATGATTAATTAATGATCAAAACTGATGCCTCCAGTCGTGCAATTTCAGCAGTGAACTCCTGACAGCAAAAACAAAACAATCCTCTTATATCTGTAACCCTACATTATACACAATACTGGCCCATTCCTGTTGGGAACTAAAATGAGCATTAAGAAAGTAAACCATTCAATCCCATGTAGTGTTACATAGGAGAAGACAACCCATGCAGAATGGGTAATGCCCCACAACACAAGTCAGTTTTTGCTACTTTTGTTTTCAGCTTGTTTTCCCTTTTTGATTCTTACTCTCAATTTTTTTCCCTCCTTATATTTTTGGGGAGTATTAAACATGACTGTGTCCAATCTGTCCAGCCTTGTTGAGGGCTACAACCCCGCAATGCCACTTCTCGTCTGTAAGACATTACTGAGGGCTGCCATGCCCATTTAAACTAGTGTGGGAGAGCAGAGATGAAAATGGGTCACAACATGTTATCTAATGTGTGTATGCACAGAAGATATCCAGTGATTTCAAGTTTTTTCTGAGATTTTTATTTTTATTCTTCGAGTTTTTAGTCTTGTTAATCATGTGTATTATGACTGGTAGTTGTGTAGAGTTAACATGATGAGAATGAGTCATTTAAGGTTTCGTCAGCAGATTCCCCCACTGCGTTTCATCTGGGTCCTCATGTGAGTCCCCACGGGCTTCTCTGACTTCAGGTGTCTGTCCTGTATTTAAAAGTAGGACAGATTGATTATCGAGGCAGATAAATTAAATGTTTCAGGCAAACTGACATTTTAACTTACCTTGACCTGTTGGCACCAACACCCGCCCTGCAAACATCACAATACAGATTGTATTTTACGTATTATACAAAGATTGTTCCAATATATGCAGATGTTTCCGTCCCCAAGAAGTTTTTATTGGTTAGTTGATCAGGAGCAAGTGTTAAACTTTAAACATGAACTCTTAAAGCAACTGATTTAGCTTGAGATGGTTTTGAAAACATCTGCACCAGGTAGATTTTCAGTCAGATACATCTAGCTGATATCATTTAGGCAAATTAAATTATTATTATTACTTGATTTAATTTGATTTGGTCTCTCACCAGGATAATTCTTCTTGTAGTAAATCAGGCCAGCGACGGAAAAGACAGAACCCAACAGCATCCCTGCTGTCCCAACAGCAATTTTATTCCTCTCTGACTCAGTCTTTGGGTCTGAAAGACAATCATCACAAACACTACATTACTATACTGTTGCTTATTAAAAATGCATAAACAATGCACCATATTTCCAATCATTTATATGACAATAATTATATTTTGCTACCCAGTAAAGGGATATTTTAGAGAATACTACACATATCTAAAATTAACCACAAGATATGCATGAGGTCTAAATATTTATCTGTGGTAATACTGTGTTCTCAAACAAAAGCTGCTAGTCAGATGAAAGCCTGGTCTCAAATAATGGCCTGGGGGCCTGGTCAACACAGACAAATAAAGGCCGGGCCCAAACACAGGCTGGGAAAAAAAAAACAAGGGTGGATGAACTCCTGGTGCCTGTTATATAATGTGGATGCCAAGTTAGCATATTGTATATTTCAATTGCTTTAATTAAATAAATTAAGCAATATAATTATGCTATTTTTAATTCAGTATTACTAATCTAAAGTATTATTGTTCTAATTGAATCAGTGCGGGTGTTAATATCTCAGCCAAACTTTATTTTGTAGTATCATACAAGTGCCATAGGATGGCAGTAGCTACATTTGAAGTACCGTAATGGACCAGTCACTGAATTTTTTTCACAATAAGTTCCTGACAATTTTTCACAATAAAAGCCTTGTTAAGAAATTAGGGGATTCTGTAATTAAGGCTTCTATTCAACAGATACAGGAAGCGTCGGGTTTGTGTTAACATTTACAAACTGTAGCAAAAATTAAACATGGAAAACAAGAGCAGTTACACGCGTTATATGTAAATCTCCACCAGAAGCAGAACTATTAAACCCCCACACACACTCTTTTACCCCAGTCATAAAGCTTGGGCTCCATGAGGCTGGCGTGCTCCACCATACAGGTGATTTGTTCTCCAGGTGTGGGCGTAAACTCCAGATAGGAGTGAATCTGGTAGAGCCAGTTCCCATTGGACATTTTCTCAGTGGACATTACACCAAGTGGCATCTCCTGTCCATTCTTCAGCCACGTCACCCTGATCTGTTTAGGATAAAAGTTGTACACACTGCAGACGAGCATGCCTGGATGTCTGCTGCTCGCTGCCTCAACTGACCTCAGCCTGACGGAGGGCTCGACTAGAAATATGCAAAAAAATTATTAATTTAAAATAACACATCCCTTTATAATTAATTTGATGTAAGTTGCAGTTTCCAATGTTTTCTCAAACTCACCTGGCTTCAAAAATACATTACATGAGTGAGCGATGTGGTTTTTGCAATGATCTGCCATTCTTCTCTGTTGTGCCATAATTACAGGATTTTTGTTGTAGGCATCTGCAATTTCCTTTGCTCTCTTTGTGTTGCCAGTGAACTTTCCCAAAGTGCTGTTGTATTGTCCAAGAAAGATCTTGTCACCGTAGTACTGCTCCAGGTAAACAGCATCACGACCTTCGTTGGAATTAAACTGACATCGTGTTATTGTGTGAACGAAGAGAGAATCTGCAAAATAAAGTGGACAATTAGTTCTTATTATAGTTTACTTTGGTGAATACAGCTGGCACAGACAAAACCTGCCCAACTAGATCTAGACAGAACAAAAACAAATCCAGAGTAGACAGACTGAACGAAGGCAAGACGTAACACTGCTGTTTACTATCTGTTATACACATAGGTTAAGATTGTTGAATGTAAAATCAGAAGTATAATAGATTTAAGTGATACAGTTATCTTAATGTCAGTGAATTAGCTTAAAGAAATCTTGATGGCACAAAACTTTGTGTTTCTGCCTGAACATTAGCTCCCTTTGGTTTGGTTACATAATGTCTTTGTACTAGTTTGAATAACAACACAAACAAAACAACCTCAACCTGAATTTCAATGTTACTTACCCACTCTAGAAAATGAGAGTAACAGCAGCAGTAAGGAAAAGGAAGCTAAGAGCAGGTTTGTTATCATGTTACCGGGACAAAAAAGTCAACTCAGCCACAGGAAGAAAGATAAATGCATGTTGATTCAGCATGAGGAAGTTAATTTGCGGTTATAAACATCACTCCTGTAGGTGTGGCACTCCTGTGAGGCATTTCTCTTAATACTAACTTTTTAAGTTTTATAATAAAACAACAATCATTAAAATTATGGTATATTTACAATGCATATTACTGGGGTGGTTAATTTAGCATTTTTGTCATCTGTAGGGATCTATTTTTCCTTAATAAGGCAATTAAATCTGTAACATACAGTACAAAGGTAGAACTTTGTGTCTCTCAAACAACACTTCTGTAATCTGAATAAACTATAAAACATTTTATTACTTAGTTACTTCTATAATATTCTGCTATAATTTTAAAAATGAAAAACTAATGTAATGTTTTTGTATTATTAGTCATCCATGAAAAAAATAAAGGCAATAATATAGGTATACTTAATCCAAATAAATGGCTAGAAGACATAACAATCACTACTTAAAAAAATTTAACATTATAAATGTTGCTATGGTCCCACAAGCTTTATCTGTTTCAGTAATCATGCTGTTGTTGTTGAAATAATTTCCCTGTTTTTAGGCAATAAGAAAAAAAAATTGGATATATAATTAAATCATAAAACTGCTGTAACAGCAGGACCAGTGTGAAGGATTTAGTGGCATCTAGTGGTGAAGTTGCAGATTGCAACCATTTGAATGCAGCTCAGCCTTTTAAGCGTACAGGAGAAACTGTGTCCAGAGCCAGTGTTTGGTTTGTGCTACTGTAGAAACATGGTTGTTCATGGTAAACTCAATGGAAGTTTACACGCTCCCTCTGTAGATAAAAGCAGATCATTCTCTGGATAATGAAAACACAACTATTCTTATTTTCAGATTGATTACACACTAATGAAAACATGCCTATGAACAAGTATTCAATTTCTGCCAGTGCATCCTCCAAAATGTTACACAAGGTAGTAAGAAACATGATAACGCTGGGAAAACATCTAATCACACATGTTCATTGTTTATCTAGTTATCTATTCTATCCAAATCTCTTCCTGTGGTGTGTCTTTGTTTTTCTTGATAAGGTTTGTGTTTCTCATGTGTTTGCACTCAGAGTTGATACATCGATCTTTTACAGCTCGCCTGAAAAGTCCAGCTGGAATCACATTTAGTCATCCTTTTTTGCAGACAAAAACAATGTGTTTATGTCTTGTTTATAGCATTTTACTATTTAAAACATTTGATTATTATACTATACTACTACTGCTAAGTGTAGTACTAAAAGTCTAAAATACTACGACAACTTTCACATTTAAGTCTTCAGACCTTTATTGTCATTGACAGCAGCAAAATGTGTAAATGTGACAATATTAACAACGACAAATACATTGAGTACAATATTAGTACTGCAGAGAGAGTTTTTGATCATTGAACATTTCAGAGGTTAGTCAACCCATTTCATGCAAAATAAGCTCTTTTAATATATCAGAATTTGTACAATACAAAAGAAAAATTCAGACTATTTATACTAATAATATCTTACATTTTATAACAGCAACATTGCAACACAGATTATTCCTGTAGATATTGTATACCTATATCAGCCTCCTCAAGCATTGACTAAAACTCTTTCAATAGAGAACTGTGTGATTTTTCCTCACATTAAAAACGTAATTATTTATTTGATCCGCTGCCACTTCACTCAGATGATACCACAGTCGTATCATTTCACATTTTTTGCTTGCAATACAAATCTTAAGTTGTTGGCACCAACATCCGCCCTAGAAAGAAAACAAAAAGAAAAACAAAGTCACACATAGTGAATTCTTGAATTCTGAGTCACAATTATTTGGTGTTGTGTTAAAAACTAGACAGAAGCTTTTGTCAAAACTTCTAAGTGCTGCATAAATTCTCATGGACTGAAAATTATTTCTTAAGGTGGTATCACAAAGTGTATAATGGCAGTAAAAGGAAAATGTTCTGTTTGTGTCTTTGCAGTGTTAAATAGGACCTAATCATCTCTTCACTCTTTGCTTCAGCTGTTGACACCAGCAGTCCAAAGATATTTTTATTTTGTTGATGTCTTTTGGTTAATGTTGTCCTGTCTCTCACCAGTAGTGTTCTTCTTGTAGAAAATCAGCCCAGTAACTAAAAACACCAGACCTAGCAGCAGCCCGGATGTCCCGACAGCGATCTTGTTTGTCACTGACTCAGGTGTTGGCTCTGAAAACACATTTATCACAAATACTACATTAGATCTCTGTATTGTCCATATTATTACAATAAAATTGTATTTTTATTGATAACAGAATGAGGTCCAAGAAAGATTTTGCCTCGGTAACATTTAAGTTAATCTACAGTTAAGTCACCACCTGTCACTCTCTTACCCCAGTCATAAAGCTTGGGCTCCATGAGGCTGGCGTGCTCCACCATACAGGTGATTTTCTCTCCTGGTCTGGGTGTGAACTCCAGATAGGAGTGAATCTGGTAGAGCCAGTTCCCACTGGGCAGTTCGTCAGTGTATGACACATCAGATGTCTCCTCCTTTCCGTTCCTCAGCCAAGTCAATCGGATCTGTTGAGGATAAAAGTTGTACGCACTGCAGACAAGCGTGCCTGGATGTCTGCTGTCCACTGCCTCAACTGACCTCAGCCTGACGGATGGCTCGACTAGAGTAAAGAAGCACAAAACGAGTTATCGTGAAATAATGCACAAATAATGTTGAATGTTTCTGTAACACAAGATTACAGCCTGTAAATATTTTGTATATATGACAAATCAATTGAATATTTATTGGGTACCAGGATAAACAAAGGGGACTTAGAAGTATAGTGTATTTTAATAGCCTACAGTGTACATTACATATTTAAATTATTAGTGGTCAATAACTTATTACTTAGTAAAAGAAACCATTTAATATTATCATTAATATTACAGTAAGTATAATATAATTGTAAAAGCTACCAGACGTGGTCACCAAAATTACCTGATTTTGAAAGAAGGTCCATCATAATTGGGATGTGGGTTTTGCATGTCGCTTCATTCTTCACTGCTTCTTTTATAAAAGCCTGGTTTTTGTTGAGGGCCTCTGCTACTTCTTGTGCTTTCTCTGTGAAGCCGACATATTTTCCCAAAGTGCTGTTGTATTGACCCAGAAGCACCTTATTAAAGAAGATCTGCTCCAAATAAAAATGATCATGAGAGGCAGTAAACTGGCAATGAATCACAGCGTAACCGAAGATAGCGTCTGTAACAGAAAGCAAACAAGTATTGGATGATGTATAAAGTTGCATTGTCTTGTTTATGATCTATTCTAAAACACTCAGTTAGTCTTTTCAATGTGCCATGTTGAGCAGCAACACAATTAAACAATGTCAATGTTTTTTCTTTTAATGTTACCTACCTGCCCTTGAAAATAACAGGAACAGACAAAGCAGAGGAAAGAAGCTGCAAATACACATGCTGGCAAACGAGAAATACAAATTTAAAATCAGAAGTAACTTATTCCTCGGAGAGTACGAGGAAGTAGAGCAGCAGAATGCATGACAGTAAGCTGCATGTAGGTGTGGCATTTATCCACAGAAATGTCTCTGCCTGTTATGAGCAGGTTGAAAGTGTTATTTGACACCGCTCACTCACCTTTATTGTATTATTATTATTATTATTATTATTATTAATATTATTATTATTATTATTATTACTTCAGTTATTAAAGTGATTTGTAATTTTACCTCAGTATTAGTGGAAGAACTGTGTTTTAATTAATCTCAAAGCAGCTTCAACTATATGAATGATTACACAGAACAGTCATTAGTGCTTGCGGTAGAGTAAAAAAGCATTCATTGAGCATTCGTATTTAGTTACACACACATAGATATAAAGTGAGTTTATACCTTTGTCCAGTGGTAGGTGTCTGATAATTTACATAAACAAAAGTAGCAAAAACAGACATAAAATTAACCATTACAAGTAAACGTACTCATTATGCAGCAGAATGGGCTATTAATGGATTTTCATTATTGATGCAATAACAGTTTAAGAAGAAGTGTTTAAGTTTTGTAGCTGGTGGAGGAAAAGCTTACTGTACTGTAACTGCCTTTTATACTGTTACAGGCAGTTTAATCTTTAGTAATGCGTCATGTTTTATAATCTTATCAAGTGTTTCTGAAATTTAATCGGTAAAGTAAACTAACCAAAGCTGTCGGATAAATGTAGTGGGAAAATGTCTCCTTCTGAAATGTAGTGGAGTCAAAGAATAAAGCCCCCCAAAACTGTAGTTCATAATAAAATACATAAAGTACATTTTCACTGCTGTTTTTTATTAGGACAACACAATGATTGCAGTCAACCATCATATGCTTTTTGAGATATAATTTATTCTCATTCATGCTTTGCCTTTGATTACAGAAATATCATGTTCACCACTGCGTACTTGCATGCTGAAGACAACTACATTCAATCATTTTAATTTATATCTCCTGCAAAAGAAGCCTCAGTAAATCACTTTTCTTCTATAATTAAAAACTACTGCTCACCAAAAACCAGATCTCACCCCTGTGGGTCATACTAGAACATACTGAAGACTGCCCTCCACTCATTTCCACCTTTATAAATGGAATAAATTACAGATTATTTTAAAACTAAAATGTCTTATCTCACTGGCTGATTTTAAACTTTAACATCACGTCACTATGATATCTGTGACTGTCTCTGATGTTATATCTGCTTTTGTTATTTTGCTGTTATATTGTTGTACTGAGGTCACTCTTGCAAAATAGATCTTAATCTCACTGACAATACCTGATTAATATTAAAACTGAAAATTAAAAAAGGATATTTTATACAAAAGTAAAATAATGTATAAGTATTGAGTGTATAAACCTCAATATTTTATATATATATATATATATATATATATATATATCATATCAAGGTTACAGATAACAGTGAACCTGACAGACAGTGTTACATGGTAACGTTTGAATTAAAACACTGTAAAGATATAGAAGGCAGAACAGAACCACCAATGAATTAAATATAAGATAAATTAGATAAAATATTTAATTCAGTTCATAAAGCTCTTTCACATTCAATGTGTAAATCAAAAAATGCTTCTTGTAATAAAAAGTAGATTACTATATTTCCTGATTTTGGACAGTACGGCACAATTGTAAAGCCAAAGGCTGCAGATGCAGATTCTCTCTAGATCAAAACTTGATGCACATTCAACCAATCCCTGTGAATTCTGTGTGACCTTGAAATTTTGTCCAATCAATGCAACTTTTCTGAAAATTTTACTTCACTGTAGTCGAAGCCATGAGCCTCATCGTCATCATAACAGAAAACATCAGGGACAGCCTGGTGTTGATTTAAAGCGAACCCACTCAACTGGTGACACCAGGATAAATGAAATGTTTTAAATCGTGCACAAGTAAAAAGACAATCAGTGAACTTGGTAATGTCCGTTATACGACATCTGTCTATTTAAAGATAGCTAATGAAAACCACCATAAACTACTAGACTGTAGCAGCAACATCCCAGAGAGTACTGAGTTGAGAAAGGGTGTTTTGCTTATAAATTCAGCATTTATTATTCAAGAGGAAGAATGTGATTACAGTCTCACTTTAAAGATAAATTAGTCTGTCACGTAATGTGTATTAAGGTCCGTCCACATCTACTAACTACACATGAACTGTTTAGTTGTGTATTTCTTCTTTGTGTGTGGTGAGGAAATATTTTGTTGACGAATGTGTTCTCCACACTTAAACTCTGTATTTGAAGGTCCAGCGTGTCACATTTAAGAGGATCTATTGGCAGAAACAGAATATAATATTCCTAGGTATGTTTTCATTAGTGTATAATCACCTGAATATAGAAATCGTTATGTTTTTGTTGCCTTAGAATGAGACATTTTTATCTACAGATGCTGCACTCCCTGGTTTTAAAACAGATGCGAGTGGTGTTCAGTTGGTTGCCATAAATAGAAATAACCACTGCAGCATTGATATTCATACCTCTCCAAACTGATTGTTTATGTAAAATTCATGTGTATGATCTCTCTAGAACAGAAATTACTGTCTATGGTGTCCTTTAACCATTAAAAATGTTCCAACTGCAACTCCCACCAAGCCCACAGTCAGACCCACTCCACAGAAAATATCTGGTCCAAGACCGGGAGGAGTCGATTCAGGTTCTGTGAAGGAATGTAAGAAAATACGCATCATTACACACACAAAGAACTATATAAATCATTGTAGTATTGTTATTGTTAAAGACTTTCATAAGATAAAACACTCACCCCAGATCCTTGTCTTAGGGCTGTCCAGGGCTGAGTGCTCCACAGTGCAGCTGTACATGTCGCCCTCCATCGGTGTGAACGTCAGGGTTGAGAACTGGTGGAAGGTCTGATCATTATTGGGATAATATCGGCTGAGTGACACCCCCTCAGACACCGGACGGCCATTTTTAGTCCAGCTGACTTTTATATAAGGTGGGTAGAAATGATTCACAAAGCAGGTGAGGCTGTTTTCAACTCCAAACTGAACGTCTTCTGCAGGGTAGAGGATGCTCTCAGGGGGGTCTGTAGTGGGTCAGAAGACGTTTAAATACCTTTATGAGCATTTTATTAACCCTGCATTTTCTCTACAGAGGTAAATGTTGAGGTTAAACTCACCTTTCTCCTCTGGTGGCTTCTTCTCCTCTACCTTCATAAATTCTACAAGTGGTTTACACGCCCTCTTGGCTTTCATAGCATTGTTATATACATGCATATTCTCAAATAACTTAGTTGGGTCAAGCACAAGAAATTTGGGAACAGTGTATACAACCTCTTGTCTTTCAAAATCCACGTATAAAACCTCCTCGGCGTCAAATTCAAACTGCACTTCAGTTGTCCCATTCTCAAAGCACCCCACGACATAGCTAATGTCGTGGGGAACTGAAAAAAAACACAGTGGAAATTAGAAAAATTATAAATGTATTGGCTTAAATTTAAAAACATTCACGACAAGTGGCTTCCTCTCTTAATTTTAAGGCATTTGTATTCCCTACAAAAACTCTCCTATGATAAGGTTTCCATAAGGATTCATCCAACTAGAACAAAGTATTACATTTTAAACTCATTCTTACTTTGAGAAAAGGCGTAGAAGATGTTGAGCAGCAGGAGTAATACACATCTCTTGGCCACCATCACTGAAACTGAACAAATATGTTCTCTCTCCTGCCAACCTGAACTACACACATAATCACATGACCACGTCACGTGCAAAACAGAGTTACTGGAACAAGATAGATATCATTGGTGAATTATTACAAACCTGCATTGATGTGCCCATGAGTTACCAGAAGCACTGGACTATTTATCTGAATAAATCTAAATAAATGTTTTGGTAAAAATAGAACTTGCTTGACCACAGTTCCTTGTTATGTAAACGCTGACGGGAACACAGCAGTCCAACCGGTTTGGCAGGAGAGAGATTATTAATTTAGGAGTTGTTCAGAAAGGACAATGTACATTAAAGCTTTTGTGTGTTGTTCAATGGTTACTTGCCATGGGAGTCCCAAACAACAATATTTTGAAGCAGAGCAGATCTTGATTTTTGGTCAAGATTATAGGTATAAGTAGGAAGGAAGTAAGTCAAAATTAACAGAAAAAGACACCACAAAAAGATAAAAAAAAGACAAGAACTAATAGTCCACTCTGGAAATTCAGCTAGAAATCACACACACACACACACACACACACACACACACACACACACACACACACACACACACACACACGTCATTCTGGGAAGAGATTCATATAGAAATAGTGATCACTGATTTACCACAAGACCCATTGTATCATATTATAGGAATTTTACACCACTCAAAATGCATAATTACTGTATGTAGTTGTCTCACCCTTTAGCCTGTGGGCCAGTATTCATACTTCTGTGGCTGATGTCAATGTCATAATAATCCATAAAACTGCCTGAAGTCAAGGGTGTCAGGGTGTTTATCAATTGCTGGATTGGACCACTTTAAAAACTAAATCTGGGACATAAATTAAGAGTATACACACTTCTCCAGGTATAAACTACACCACTGATTATTTGAGCAATACCAGATGGACCAATGGAAAAGAGAAAAGGTACATTTATCTTGGCTCAAACCACTGCTACCTACTGTAAATCAATGACAGATTAATAAAAGTGTATTTAAAGGACAAAAATTAACTCAAAACTCCACATAACTCCACTTTTCTTTTTTGTCTTTATGTGACAAAGCAGCTGTGTATACTTCAAAAGTGCATCCATAAAAATAAACATTTTGTGGATAGAAAAACAAGAAGACAGTGTCAAAATGTCAAGATGCAGTGCTTCTTAATATCACCTTACAGGAAATGATAACATGTTTATGATAATACAATAAAAATGTACAAAAATACAACCTGACAGAGTAACTTACAGAGAAATAGGTAACATTATTTTACACAAAAATTTCCCAAGCAGTTTTTGTCTAATGTCAGAAAGAAGAAAAACAAAGTAAAAGAAATTCTAAGAAATTCCCAGTGTTCGGCTGCAGGTCGGTAGCTATGAGCAGGTGGAAGATGCTGCCTGTTGGTGCAGCTACAGTCACATGATGGAAGGATGGGGATGATGGAGGTGAGGAGTAAATGGGACGCCACAGGCAGATGAAACAAAGTGTGCAAAGGCATTTAAACAGTAACAAAATAAATCCAGGACGAACTTAATATTGTTTACAATGTGTTTATCTGACAGGAAACTCGACTGTGACTCAGTTTAATAGACCAACGTTTTTGTAAATGTTTTGGGAAGGACAAGTGTAATTGTAATTGTAATTTAATTTTCAGATCCATTTAAGAGCTTATAAATATTTTATAATTTTTTATAAGTCAGTTTTACTGACTGATGATGATTTGAATGAATTACCATTAAAGACCAACAGTACAACCACACTGTGTGTGGCCTGATTAAAGTTCTTCACTGACGTCTCCTTCAATGTCCTCTTAGTTTTATTGCCCCTGTTAGGACGGGATGTACACCTCTCTCATTCCTATTAACGCACACAGTTTGGTGATATCTAATTCAAGAAACCATGTTACATGTTATGTTACATTTATTTCTAACGATTGTAACCAATAATTTATAACCTGACTGCGCCAGATGGTTTGTTACACAGTATCTTCTGGGAAGTGGTTGATGGAAACTGTTTGGAAAAGGGCAGCACGAACCAAAAAATACAGGCAGTTGATTGGATGAACCAGCTATCCATCACAGAGCCAATCAATCAGATCAACAAACTATAATGTACTCAAACTGTTACCGAAGTCAGTCGGGGAAAATGACTGAAAAATAGTAAATAGTTACAGTTACTTCACTCAAAAGTTATTAGTTACTAGTTACTGCCAAAAGTGGCGCAATTACAGTAACGCGTTACTTTATAATGCGTTACTCCCAACATAGGTCGAGAAAAGCCTTCAGTGCCATTGGCTGCTTTTGTTTAAATGAAGAAATACTCTCCAGTTCTGATATAACAGAGGCTAGCAGCATCCACGCAAACATCTGCAGCAGCAGCCATTTCCGCCATTTTCGAGCAAACACTTGTCACACATGTCCATCGCACACATCTCGTAATAAACCGCACGCATAGCTCATGTCATAGCTGCCAGTAGTTCCTCAAAGGACGCTGATTGGTTCATAACTGTGTTCAGACAATAAGAGCAGACATATGTCACTTTCTTCTCTTCTGAACGACCACGCCCCCTGTTGGGTGAAACGAGCACTGTAAAAGTGCCTAGAAGCTGCTGTGTCAGATTTTGCACATAAAACAACTTTAAAAAGCGAGTTTATGATTTTGTTTACTTTTCTAATCACGAAGGACACTAAATGAGTCAATGAGCCTTGGTTGCCCATGACCCTGTCTCCGGTTCACCTGCTTTTCCTTCCTTGGACCACTTTTGAATGGTACTGACCACTGCCGACCAGAGCTGCAGTTTAGGAGATCACAATTTGGCCCTTTGTCAAAGTCGCTCAAATCCTCATGCTGCCCATTTTTCCTGCTTCTAACACATCAACTTTGAGGACAAAATGTTCACTTGCTGCCTAATATATCCCACCCACTGACAGGTACCATGATAACCAGATAATCAGTGTTATTCACTTCACCTGCCAGTGGTCATAATGTTATGGCTGATCGGGGTATATGATGGATATCTACAGCTTAAGACATTTATTTTGACAAGAAAACAAAAAGAATGAGTCATCAAAGGATAGAAATGAACACATAGCCTGAACCATTGTATTTGAGTTCTCAGTGAATCCCCGAAGGCTTCTCCGACTTAAAGTGTGTGCTCTGGATAAAACACCTGCAGGACAAATTCATTATTGAAGCAGATGAATGAACAAATGTTTCAGACAAACTGACAGAGAGGTGATTGTTAAATGTAAAAGCCTACCTCAGTTGTTGGCACCAAAACACGCTCTGTTATTAGAAAAGAAAAATATAAAGACGAGGTGGAAAAATCAGTGTTAATCTCAATATTAATCAGAATAAATCTCTCACCAGAAGATTTCTTCTTGTAGTAAAGCAGTCCAGCAACTGAAAAGACCAGACCGAGCAGCAGCCCTGCTGTCCCAACAACAATATTATTGGTCCCTGAGTCAGCAGTGGGCTCTGAAAAGACAGTTACCACAAACAATTCATTTTATCTCAATTCATTTATATCACAGAAGTTCATACCTAAGATTACTAGTAATATCCAATGGATAGGAAAAGTAAAAGGACCTCAAAATTACACTTCAGTACAGTATTTGAGTGAATGTAATAAATATCTCATTGCTTGAGATTTAAATAGTAATTTCTACGTCACTTGTCCACGTGCACACTCTCTTACCCCAGTCATAAAGCTTGGGCTCCATGAGGCTGGCGTGCTCCACCATACAGGTGATTTTCTCTCCTGGTCTGGGTGTAAACTCCAGAAAGGAGTGAATCTGGTAGAGCCAGTTCCCATTGGGCAGTTCATCAGTGGACATCACATCAGAAGTCTCCTCCTGTCCGTTCCTCAGCCAAGTCAATCGGATCTGTTGAGGATAAAAGTTGTACGCACTGCAGACCAGCATGCCTGGATGTCTGCTGTCCACTGCCTCAACGGACCTCAGCCTGACGGACGGCTCGACTGGAGGAAGTTAGCACAAGATACGTTTAGTCATAAAGTAGCACTTATTTTACTAATTTTATACAAGCTGCGTTTAAAGCAAAAGTTCAAAATGTTTAGATGAAAGTTTGATGTTGAGAAATATGCTCATATTTGCAGGACTATTTAAAAAAAAAAACAGGCAGCTAGGGAGCCAATGGTGCTGTGTGTTACGTCCCACAGTCAAGCATCTGTAGCTGTTACTAAGCTAACACCTTATACTATACTCAAAACCTTTGCCTATGGCAATTAAGTTAACATAGTTATGTTCTGTGATATTCACCTGATTTCAGAAGCGCATTATAAGCCAGTGGGGTGTTTCTTTTGCAAAGTTCTGTTTTCCGTTTCCCCCAATTCACAAAAGCTGGATTGTTGTTGTATATATTTGCATATTTTATTGTTTCCTTTGTGTAGCCGATCATTTTCCCCAAAGTGCCGTTGTATAGGGCCACCAGCCTCTTGTTAAAGTAGTACTGCTCCAGGTACACAGCATCATGACCATCGGGGAAACTGAACTGACAACGAGCAAATCCATGACCGTAGAGAGCATCTGTCAAAATAATACCAACAGATATTAGTTGATATAGTTATTTGTAATGTCTTTAATATTCATTTAATATTCTCACACATCTCTAAAAGTAAAACTGTGAACTGGAGTTCTTCTGTCTCTATTGTTATGTTTTACATTCTTACATTTCTGACATAATCTAACAAGTGAATATTTGACTACTTGAACAGCAACACCAACACACAATGATCATTTCTGTTTTCATGTTACTTACCTGCTCTTGAAAATGCCAACAGGAGAGTAAAGAAGACGAGAGCCGGAGACATTCTGTCATGTAAATAAGAGAGATCCAACAGAAAGGAAACTAGTTCAAGTTGATTCTGAGTTTGATAAACAAGGAATCAATTGTAGATTCATAAACAACATTTTTCCCGAAGCAAGTGTGGCAATAGTGTCTCTCATTTAGATTCCACGATCATATTACTGCACGTCACATCACTACTTCCCTTTTCTTTGCATGCAATTTCTCTTTGTATTACCAGGTTTAGAGGAACAACTCAGATTTATTTACTGTTTATATTTAAGTAAAAGTAGCAATGCAATAATGTAAAAATGCTGCCTCCAAAGCAAGTAAAAAATATACAAGGCAAAAATAAATTCATACCACATGCAAAAAACAGCACGGTTTTTGCTCCAAACTGCATGAAATTAGTGAGATAAGTGGGCATGTCTGCAAAGAGGAGACTCGTAGGTTCCCAAAGACCCACAAGTCATGCTGTGCCATCAGTCTGCACCTTGCATGGCAGCCTCTGCCCCCATCATCCACCATGTGAGTGGATGAAGGTGACAGTGTAAAGCTCTTTGAGCTTATTCATATATAATGAAGAGGAATAATCCTCCACTGCACAGTAAACATTTATCTCCATTGATTTATTTATAAAGTTGTGTTAAGAACAAACAAGGTTTTATAATGCACTTTTTACAAGTTTACTCAACTAAATGCAGTAGTAACAGATATTCTGTGGCATGTACTTACAGTTTCCATGAATAATATAGGAATACAAAGCACATTTAAGCAGATATACAAGTGTCAAACAGACAGAATCAAACATACAGTGTGTCACATGGCAATCAGTTACAGTGTGATTACCCAGAAGCTGTCCTTCTACTGTATACTGCTAGTTAATATGGTGCCATATATCAGAGAGGCAGAGTAGATGCAAGCAGATACAAACAATGGTATGATAAAGATGTTATTTCTAATGCTCATTCAGACCTTAAAGTGTGCAAATCCTTTAGTTGCAGGTGTTGACCCACAGCTTCTCTCCATGAAGTGTTTTGTTAAGATATGTTGTATTTTTCCATTTCTAATGGCCAGTTGAATTTCATGAACTCCTTTTTTCCTTAATATTCTAACCTGCTGACAGTGTTCATTTGCAATGTTAACAGTATTCCTATATTCATATTATCCATGGTGTCCTTTGGCAATGAAAAATACTCCAACTGCAACTCCCAACAAGCCCACAGTCAGACCCACTCCACAGAAAATATCTGGTCCAAGACCGGGAGGAGTCACTTCAGGTTCTGTGGAGGAAGCTAGAGAGGACATGCATCATTACAGGTAACGACAAAAACATTTCATTTTGTATTTTTAATTGCCCTCATGAGGTAAAACACTCACCCCAGATCCTTGTCTTAGGGCTGTCCAGGGCTGAGTGCTCCACAGTGCAGCTGTACATGTCGCCCTCCATCGGTGTGAACGTCAGGGTTGAGAACTGGTAGAAGGTTTGATCATTATTGGGATAATAACAGCTGAGTGACACCCCTTCTGACACCGGACGACCATTTTTAGTCCAGCTGACTTTAATATCAGGTGGGTAGAAATGATTCACAAAACAGGTGAGGCCATTTTCAACTCCCGGCTCAAATTCTTCTGCAGGGTAGAGGTCAGAAGACAATTAAAAACCTTCATCAGCATTTTATCAATCATATCACTGATAAATGTTGAGGTTAATTTACCTTTTTCTTCTGGTGGATTTTTAAATTCACTTGCAACTCCTTTATTAAGTGTTAAACAGATATCCTTGCTACTGAAAGCTTCACTTAATACGCTGAAACCCTCAAAAATGTGACTTTGATCCAGATCAATAAGTCTGGGCACAGTGTATTCAATGTCCTCTTTTTGTAAATCCACATGTAAAATCTCCTCATTATCAAACTCAAACTGGACCTCAGTTGTGCCATTTATAAAGCAGCCCACAAAATAGAGAACCTCATGGGGAACTGAAAAACATAATAGAAATAAAAATCAGTCACATGTTGGAAAAGGTTACAGCTTCTATCAGTTTGTTTCAGGCACTGATAAACAGACAAACATAATACCATATATATTTTCTGTTTACATAAAATTACTATCAATGTTAGAATCTTACTTTGTGACAAAGCACAGAAGCTGTTGAGCGTCAGGATTATGAGAGCAGAGCGCTGCATGTCAGAGTAGATCTTCGTGGTTCGAACTCTGAATGGAGAATTGTTTCATTTGTTACCAATAAGGAAACAAATACAATCACATGACCAAATCAGGTGGAAAACATGGGCAAAGTAAAAAGTAACCAGAGAAATGCAGTCAATTTAAGTTAAATTATACTTAACTGTATTATGAATTAGCAAAAGGATGAGATTGAAATAAATCTCAAATACGTCACTTTGTAGAGAGTTTGACCACAGCTTCTGTGTAAATGTAGATGTGAAAGCAGCTGTCTGACCTGTTTTGCAAGTAATCTGTACATAAAGCTTTTGCCAAAACATGAACTTTTAGCCTGTTGGCAGTGTTGAATTTTCCAATGTAATTTACTTTAGTCAACATGATGAAAATGAAGAAATTACAGCACAAACTACAAAATGTCAGATGAATGAAGTATTTCCATTGTGGTCAAATCATCAAAGAGAGAGCTATATCTTTAGACAGTGAGTCTCAGGTGTTTGGGGCCAAGTACAAGAACTTCAGTTTTTTAGTTTAGCATCAGAAAATGTCCTTAAGACATGTTTTGTAACTTATATAACTGATTAATTTCATCGGGCTTGATCGACAGATATAACTGGGTATCATCTGCATAACAGTGAACGTTAATGGGGTGATTCCTAATAATGTTGCCCATGGGAAGCATGTATAAAGTGAATAGAATTGGTACATATTGTGGTACATATCCTGACAATAAAGAGATCATATCCAGTAAAGTAGTGCCAATTAAGGGCAAGACTTCTTTAAACAGCCTAGTTGGGATGGGCTCTAAAAGACAGGTTGATGGCTTCGATGTAGAAATTATTGACGTTGGTTGATGAAGATCGATAGCAGAAAAACAGTCTAAATATATCTGATTTTAAATTAGTTAAAAGTCCTGAACTTTGACAGCAATACCTGTTGAGGGCATTTGGTTATTAATTTTGTCTCTAAAGTAATAATTTTATTATAGAAGCTCATAAAGTCGCTGCTACTTAAGGTTATGGGGATACATGGCTCAATGGAGCTGTGACTGTCAGTCTGGCTACAGTGCTGAATAGGAACCTGGGGTTGTTCTTATTTTCTTCGTCCTTTTTAAGACTATCTTGCCAAATTGAGCGATATTCTAATAATTTGGCAAAACACAATTTCCTCTCAGATTTCTGCACTTTGCTTTAATTGGTGGTACCATGGTGCTAGACTCTTATGTCTTAATATTTTCTTTTTATAGGGGCAATAGTATTTAGTGTTGTTTGCAGAGAGCCTGCCTGCAGCACTATTAACAAGATTATCAATTTGGGAGGGACTAAGCGTATTATAGGACTGTTATATTCAGACATGCCCTTGAATTAAACACTGATGGAATCTCCTCCTTAAATTTAGCTACAGCACTGTCAGATAGACATCTGCTGTAGGAAGTTTTGCCTAATTGCTTATAATCTAGTATTAGGAATTCAAAAGTTATTAAATAATGGTCAGGTAGAAAAGGACTTTGGGGAAAGACTATTAAATGTTCAATATCAATGCCATATGATAGAACAAGGTCAAGAGTGATTAAAACGATGGGTGGGTTTATTTACACTCCGACAGAAGCCAATTGAGTCCATTAATGAAATAAATGCATTACTAAGGCTGTTATTGTCAACATTCACATGAAAATTACAATCACCTACAATAATTACTGATTTAAAGGACTAAACTTGATAAAAACTGAGAATTCAGACAGAAAATCAGAGTACGGGCCAGGAGCGCAGTACAATATAACAAACAGCCAGGTCTCAGTAAGAAAGTAAATCTATATTAGAATCTAATATTAATTCATTAACTAGAACTGCTTTAGATGACAGAGGCCTGATGTTTAATAGTCCATGTTTCATTCTTTTATTTTGTGCTACTGAGGAATTTGTTTAGATTTTTATAAGGTTTTTATGTTTAATTCCTCTTGTTTTTATTTCTTCAAATAATTCAGGTGCTCAGGGACAGACAGTCTCCGGGGTTTTGGGTGACTGTTCTAATGGAAGTGCAGAGAAGTGCGTAAGACAGCAGCTCTGCTTCCTGGTCCCAACTCTGGATTGTCAGGTTTTAGAAAGAAACCGTTATATTTCTAGATAAGAGCTGCTCCATCCAAAGTGGGATGGATGCCGTCTCTCCTAATGAGACCAGGTTTTCCCCAGAAGGTCTGCCAGTTATCAATGAAGCCCACATCGTTTTCTGGCTGTCGAGGTGGTGTCCAGAAAACAATGCGGTTTTACATGTCACTGGTCAGATTGGGGAGGGGACCAGAGAAAACTACGGAGTCTGACATTGTTTTAGCATATTTACACCACATACATTACCACCAACATGAATAACCATTTTACTATATTTACATTTGTCCTTAGCCAGCAGTTTTAAATATGATTCAATACCGCCTGCTCTGGCCCCAGGGATACATTTAACTATGGTTGCTGGTGTCGCTAAATTCACGGTCCTAACTGTTGAGCTGCCAATAACCAGAGTTTGTTTTTCCAGCAGGTGTGTCGCTTCGTGGGGAATATCTATTGAACACATGAACCTGTTGCTGGTGAACTGTGGGCTTCTGCTGTTTGGGGCTAGGCCTCTTTCCGACAGTCACCCTGCCTCCCTGGCTTCCGGGCTACTCGGGACCCACTGGGGGGCTAGCAGAAGCTACACTGGGTCAGCTCGCACCGACTACTGGGGCTGGCTAACTATCGTGGCTAAAGATTTCTCTGCGGTGCTGTAGCGTGCTTCTAATTCACTGAGTAAGACACATGAGTAAAATAGTGACTTTTTCAGCGTTCACTGGACAAAGCTACATCAGCCAACACTGTACACTGGAGCAGTCAGTAACTGGAAATTACACAGTACGCTTACTGTTGCACGTCAGCACGTCCCTGAGCATTCAAAAGCAGTTACCTCTAAGTAGAAGACAAACAGTGCAGGTTTAAACCCCAAATGGCACAAACCTGGAGTCCAATCCCCCCCATCTATCTCACCCAAATCTATCTAACTCAACCCTAGTCTTCGAGTGGTTAATTGCAGGGGGTACTTATACACTCTAAATCAGTGGGGTGGGAAAGCAACTGGTTAACCAGCGACCCTCCCAGAATCCACTGAGGTGTTCCCGAGCAATGCTCTACCCACGTTCACCACCACACTACAAAAAACAAACCAAAAAAAACAACAGATTCCCTAAACAAAACCCGCTGTCTGAAACCTAACAGGGGAAAAGAACTCCAAAAAATATTAAAGCCATTAAGTAAGAACCCACACTGCCACAAAAATTAGCTACTAGAGACTAACAAAGCTCCCCATCTTCCAAAACCAAAACTCAAAAAATCTGTGTGCATCTCCCACAATAATTTACCTAGGTGAAGTAATATCACAATTACAAATGGCACAAAAACAAACATTTCCAAATGTTAAACACCAGGAAAGTCAAAATTAAATTATTAAACTATTCAGTTTTGACAGGCCCCCTATTGTCATGAACCTGCTCACAGTTCATACAAAACAAGGGAGACCACACAGATAATTAAAGTGTTTAAGGCAAAATAAAGTTAATTAACCAATATTCACACTAAACAAAGTATAAAAGATATATGTACATCAGGGTTGTCAGTAGTGCAGTGAGTGTATGTGTGGATATGGGCAGAGTTGTGCATGTAAAGGGAATGGGATTTATCAAACCAAAGGTAGCAACAAACCCAGGACCTGCTGGCTGGAAGGAAAGAGAGACAACTAACGGATCAAGCCACTTTAAAGCCTTGTAATCGGGGAGGAATCAGGTGTAGCTCATCTTATAGCCACACCCCTGCCACTCTGTCTCCTAAAAAGGAATAAGGGAAAAATACACAGACCAACCAGAGTGGGAGGGGTCATCACACCATCCAACCCCAGAGGGAAATATCTGGATCTCTAACTTTGTCGCTAATAGAAGCAGAGAGCTATAGTGCAAGTCTAAATGTATGGTGGCAGTAATTAGAATATTAAATATTATATTTAATTTATTTCTCTATTTTTTACTTTCCATATTTTTTTCTTATTCACAATACCATACCAATTTTTAAGGACTTCCATGCACGGGAGAGAGACATGCAGAGGTTTTACTCTGAGTCGAGGGTGACTTCATGCTGTTATTATATTAGGGCAGAAGAAGAGAAATAACTGAGGGTAGAAACAGTAACTCTTAGTTCTGAGTAATAATAAGTAAGTAATATCCATCCAGGATTTTGAGTCTGACAGTAAACCTCTGCTAATTAATGCACTTTGATACACACTTTGTTGTGGACTGAATCAATGGGGAAATAAAACAATGTGTCTGGACCTGTAAGAGGAAGGAGAGGCAGATGGGAAGACTGCCAGCAAACAGGGGTTTTCTCTGCACCTATTGTCTGTAATATCTGTTGCTGTCGGTGCGTTCAAGTGCAATAAATTATATTTGTTTCATAAACAAACTTTAGAAACCTTTTAATACAGCTATGAACAATTTCTCCCTGAACACCTAAGTTCACCCCACATCCACCACCGGTGCTGAGTAGCAAATGTTAAGATGGTGAAGATGGTAAATGTTACCTGCTAAACATCAACATGTATTGTCATTATGAGCACATTAGCATGCTGTCATTAGCATTCAGGTCAAAGTTGACGTGGTGAGGGTTGTGAGGGTTTACTATTATTGCTACTAATTACTATTAATTGCCTGTCAATGTAGTCAGAAACCTAATCCGAGTATCATTAAAGTAATGTAACTTCTTCACTTTCTGTTACTTTGGATTATCTCAACAGCAAATATGCAAAGAAAGACAAGAGAAAAGAAACAATGAGAAGACTTTTACTAAAGACAACAATGTAACCCTGAAAGAAAATGTGTCCTCTGCTCAATGTAATTTTAAAGAAAAACTTTCTTCTCATTTAAACAAATTCAGTTAATATTCTATAGACCATTTTCATTACTGGAGCAACAAAACCAGCTACTTGCAGCAGCTGGAAACTGGAGGTTGATGGGAACAGAAGAATTTTTAGGCTGGAAAATTAAAACGAGGCTAAAAGGCTCCACAGAGTTTGAGGAGAAATACTGAAATATTAATGTAGGCCACAACACTGATGGAAGGAAACAACAATTATTACTGAGATGTAGGTTTTTATTCTTTTACACTGCTTTGTGCTTTTGTGATAATCCATTGTAGTTATATATAATGAACATATACAGTCAAAGTCAGCAAAGGATAGAAATGAGCACATAGCCTAAACCATTGTATTTGAGTTCTCAATGAATCCCCGAAGGCTTCTCCGACTTAAAGTGTGTGCTCTGGATAAAACACCTGCAGGACAAATTCATTATTGAAGCGGATGAATGACATCCAGCCACAAATGTTTCAGACAAACTGACAGAGAGGTGATTGTTAAATGTAAAAGCCTACCTCAGTTGTTGGCACCAAAACACGCTCTGCAATTAGAAAAGAAAAATATAAAGACGAGTTGGAAAAATCAGTGTTAATCTCAGTATTAATCAGAATAAATCTCTCACCAGAAGATTTCTTCTTGTAGTAAATCAGTCCAGCAACTGAAAAGACCAGACCGAGCAGCAGCCCTGCTGTCCCAACAACAATCTTATTGGTCCCTGAGTCAGCCGTGGGCTCTGAAAACACAGTTACCACAAACAATGAATTTTATTTCTGCTGTCTACTGTTCCTCTGCACAGTGCGGCTGCATGAAATAGTTCATGTGTTATACTAATTATGTTTAAATGTTTATGACAGGTTGTGGCATTTGCAGATATCTACAGTATGTACATAACCATTTTATTTGTCCATATATCACTAAACATTTATTAAATGGATAACAATAAAATTATAGGTTCTATGTCATGTTTGCTATCATACCTAAAAAAACTAGTAATACCCAATGCCGGAAAAGTTATTTAAGTAAAGGACCTCAAAATTGAACTTCCTTTTTATAAATTCCACAAGTACTGGTCCAAATGGTGAATACACAAGCATATATATATATATGTTTTTGCTATATGGAAGTCATAAAAGAGCAGTCCTTTCAGTTCCCCTCTGAGGATATGGACTGATACCGTGTTGTCTTTGTATGCCTCTCTCTCTTCATGGGACAATGGGAGAACTGACAAGTAACCCTTAATACAAAGCTAACAGCTGTACCAATAACATTTGAACTGTGTTGTATTGATCCTGGTGATCACTGGAACAAAATTATAAAAAATAATTGGAAAGAAACTGCACTTCAGTACAGTATTTGAGTGAATGTAAAAAATACCTCATTGCTTGAGATTAAACTCGTAATTTCTACGTCACCTGTCGACATGCACACTCTCTTACCCCAGTCATAAAGCTTGGGCTCCATGAGGCTGGCGTGCTCCACCATACAGGTGATTTTCTCTCCTGGTCTGGGTGTGAACTCCAGATAGGAGTGAATCTGGTAGAGCCAGTTCCCATTGGATACTTCCACAGTGGATGTCACATCAGATGTCTCCTCCTGTCCGTTCCTCAGCCAAGTCAATCGGATCTGTTGAGGATAAAAGTCGTACGCACTGCAGACGAGCGTGCCTGGATGTCTGCTGTCCACTGCCTCAACTGACCTCAGCCAAACAGACGGCTCGACTGGAGGAAGTTAGCACAAGATACAACATTTAGTCATAAAGTAGCATTTATTTTACTAATTTTATACAAGTTCCCTTTGAAGCAAAAGTTCAGCATTTATAAGTTTTGCAAATATATATATTTTTTTTATATAATATTTAAATTTAGAGTTGTTTCCTTTCCAGGTAGCTGGCAGGCAGCCATCTTTATTTTTATTTGGAAACAGGTGCAAGACTGTAGCCTTATATTTTAAGGTCCAGTGTAGCAGTTAGTGGCATCTACTGGTTTCAGATTCCAACTAACTGAGCACTGCTGGTGTCTATACTCGACGACCTGGGAATGAGAACAACCTGTAACTACAGAGGCCGCAAGACTTACAGATCCGTCTGCAGATAGAAACGGCTCATTCTAAGGTAACAAAAACAAGATTCCTATATTCAGGTGATTTTCACACTTATGACAACATACCTACGGATATCATATTCCATTTCTGCCAATAAATCCTTCTAAATGGGCGCTCGGATGGCTCAGTGGGTAGAGCTGGCGGCCCATTTACCGGGGCTGAGCCCTTGCTGCAGCGGCCCAGGGTTCGAATCCAACCTGTGGCCCTTTGCTGCATGCTATCCTCTCTCTCTGTCCCCCTTTCGTGTCTATCTTAAGCTGTCACTATAATAAAAGGCAATTAAAAAAAAGCCCAAATCCTTCTAAATGTAGAATACTGGATCTTCAACAGACATATATTGATGATCTGATGTAAGAAGTGTAAACCTTTGCTTTATGGAAATTAATTTCTGTGATGTTCAGTGATAATCACCTGTCTTCAGAAGGTTATTATAAACAAGAGAGGCTCTTCTTTCGCACATTTCTTTTTTCTGTTTCTGTAAATACCCAATATACGGATCTTTGTTTAATTTATCTGCAGTTTCTATGTTTTCCTTTGTGTAGCCGATCAATTTCCCCAAAGTGCTGTTGTATTGGAACTCCAACATCTTATTAAAGTAGTACTGCTCCAGGTACACAGCATCATGACCATCAGGTGAACTGAACTGGCAACGAACCAAAGCATGACCGTAGAGAGCATCTGTCAAAATAATACCAACAGATATTAGTTAATATGGATACTTATTTGCATTTCATACAACATTTCATTCATTTAATATTCTCGTAGTATTAGGACCAGCCATGAGAAAAAAAATAAGAGAAGGTTCTGAGTACTTTTCTCTTATTGCATGTCCAAAATAAAGAATAAAGTCTAAATTTTGAGAATAAAGTTGATATAGAGTTTCCAGAAGGAAGTTGAAATGTCAGGAATAAAGTCAACTTCTTTGGTCTCTTGCAAACCTATCTGTATGATTCCTGCTCTAAAAGACCAGCACGTTTGTTCTATAAGCTTCCACACACACAACATAGCGACTAAAACCATCAGTACAACCACTGATGGCAATGCCACATGGCTTCAGATTATCCATATGCCATAGCATGTTGGGACATTTGTTTCCAATCACCTTGATCAATTGACTTACTGTGTTGTGATACAAACACATCCTCTCTGGATTGCACACAGGTGTGACCATTGAGACCTTTGCATCTGTCCCTTACGTACGTGCTTCACGCCCTGTGCGTAAGGCACCAAATGCGGAGGAGGCACCACCAAAACAATCTAATAATCATTGCTCATAATGTTAAATACAGAGCGCAGCGCCTGGTGTTTGATTCTGTGCCATCTCGTCTGAAGGACAGCGAGCAGGACTCCACACACACTGCATCCGTAGTCTCTCAGATGCAAAGAGAGTAGAGAGCCAATATTTCCATTGCAGTTGTTTTTTACAACCACAGCTTGTTAATCTAATAAACTGTCTATATGTAGTCTGTTTATGTTTAGTTATTATATACATATAAACAAAGCAGCCATGTGCTCTAATCCTACTTGTTTTATTCTCAGAAAATCGACTTTATTCTCGAAATGCGAAATGAGTGGCCTTAATACTCTACTGCCCCATCAGACTCTAAACAGGGGCGTGTGTGTCTCTATTGTTATGCTTTACCTTTTCTGACATAATCTAGCGAAGTGAATATTTGACTACTTGAACAGCAACACAAACAAACAATGATCAGTTCTGTTTTCATGTTACTTACCTGCTCTTGAAAATGCCAACAGGAGAGTGAAGAAGCCGAGAGCACGAGACATGTTGTCATGTAAAGAAGAGAGAGCCAACAGAGAGGGAAACTTGTTATTCTGAGTTAGACAAAACAAGGAAGTTCAATAATTTTAATACTAGCAGTTTTTCCCCTAAGCAGGTGTGGCACTAGTGTCAGTCTCTTAAAGGTGTCACATTACTACTTTCCTTCTCTCTGTATGCAATCTCTCTAGGTAGTACCAGGTGTAGAGAAAGAACTCGGACCCTTAATATTTATGTAACAATGCAGCAATTTAAAAACACTCCATTACAAGTAAAAGTCCTGCATCTAAAGCAAGTTCTGCATTGAAAATGTTTCTATTTCAAAATGTCAAAATGTCCAAAAGTGCTCATCATGTAGAAAAATGGTCTGTGAGTGCTCAAAATAGAGCTAAATTCAACCATCATATTTATCATATTTTATAAACTGATCTGAATCTTGATCTGTAAAGGGACTATTAGTTCTCAGATTAATGTTTTGACAAGAAACAAGGAAGCAAACAAACAAAACACTCAAGTACAATCACCTCCAGATTTTGTGATAAATCTTATTGTCTAAAGTTGTTGGTACGATACCATATTTTCTATTACTTTACTACTGGTGAGGTTTCCCTATTGTCCAATTCCTTATCAACTGATTTATGTGATCTATTTATTGATCTTAATTTATTCATTATGTATAATGTATGAATAAATCCCTTAGACACACACTATCATTGGTTGGCTGTAATAAACATCCACTGCACAATACAAATTCATCTCCACTGTTTAGTTTTATTTATAATGTTGTTTTAAGAGCGAACGAGAACAAGAACATTATTTTACAAATTATTATATGAATAATATAAGAATATAAAGCACATTTAAGCAGATATCAAAATGTCAAAACAGAGAGAATCAAACATACAGTATTTCACATGGCAATGATTGAATGAGTTACAGTGAGATTACCCAGAAGCTGTCCTTCTACTGTATACAGCTAGTTAATATGGTGCCATATATCAGAGAGGCAGAGTAGATGCAGGTAAACAAATAATACAGGCTTCACACCATATTTTAAAGCAAAAAAACCCCAAAAAACCATAGCTTCTCTTGTTGAAGTGTTTTGTTAGGAGCATGTTTCCGTTTCTAATGACAGCTTTAAGTTGAATTTTATCTGGTATTTGTAATATTTAAGCCTGGATGTACAGGATGATTATACAGTGTTTGTAATTCAATAAATGTGAATGGGTGCAGTTTAATGTGTTCCTTTTCAGTCTTCCTATATTCATATTATTATCCATGGTGTCCTTTGGCAATGAAAAATACTCCAACTGCAACTCCCAACAAGCCCACAGTCAGACCCACTCCACAGAAAATATCTGGTCCAAGACCGGGAGGAGTCACTTCAGGTTCTGGGGAAGAAGTTAGAAAGGACATGCATCATTACAGGTAACAACAAAACATTTCATTTTGTATTTTTAATTGCCCTCATGAGGTAAAAAACTCACCCCAGATCCTTGTCTTAGGGCTGTCCAGAGCTGAGTGCTCCACAGTGCAGCTGTACATGTCGCCCTCCCTCGGTGTGAACGTCAGGGTTGAGAACTGGTGGAAGGTTTGATCATTATTGGGATAATATCGACTGAGTGACACCCCTTCTGACACCGGACGACCATTTTTAGTCCAGCTGACTTTAATATCAGGTGGGTAGAAATGATTCACAAAGCAGGTGAGGCTGTTTTTAACTCCCAATTCAACTCTTTCTGTAGGGTAGAGGATGCTCTCAGGGCGGTCTGTAGTTGGTCAGAAGACAATTAAAAACCTTCATCAGCATTTTATCAATCATATCACTGATAAATGTTGAGATTAATTTACCTTTTTCTTCTGGTGGATTTTTCTCTTTCGCTGCTGCCATTACTGATAAACAGTAATCCTTTTGTGACAGAGCATCACTAAGTATACTCTCATAGGTCTGCCCCTGAAAAATTAATCGAGATATCAGTCAAAAAGACTTCAAGTTGACCCTTATTTTGTCAGTCAGATCTCTGCTCTTTTGGCTTTTAGCTGCGTTACTGTACACAGAGTAATGCAGGAGCAACAGTGAGGCCGCCTGTAAACTTTACAAACTCTCAGAGTCTCAAGTTGACCACTAACCACAAAACTAAATGTGATGGAAGTGGGTGACAGAAACCGAGGGCAACCGAGGGAAGTGCCCGGCTTCTCCTGAACCACCCATGGACATTAAAACCCCTGTATTAAGAGCAAGCAGAGGTGGCGCACATAATGCCTCCTGACTTCTTTGGCAAGTACAGGGAGAAAAACCCAGCTGCACCTCAAAGGGAAGGACTGCTGCTGTGGCACCCTTAGGGAGAAGAGAAACTATTGCAATGTCCAGAGCCACAATGCGGGGGTTGAGAGGGAGGTCTGAAGGATGCTACTGAATGGGGGGATTAGCAGCAGAATTGTGGAGCATAACCCTTTAACAAGGTCCTGTCCAGCCAGGCAAGGAGAGGGCTCCTGTAACTGTCCATAACTGGCAGGGTGACAAGTTTGACTGGCAGGGGAAGAACGGGTCCTCCCATTCTGACCCTCCCATCTCAGGAAGGAACGTACCCCTGCTGAAAGGGCTGAGAAACAGCTAATGCTAGCAAAGACTCTGCTTCATCTCTAGTTTTTAGTGAGTGTGGAGGATAGTGGGTAAAAGCTCCTACCAGGGCTAGGCGAGGAGAATATTCCTCGCTCCGACCTGTTGTGCAGAAACGGATTCAAAGATGAAATTACTCCAAATGGAAAAAAAACTCAGCGGCCACCGTGTTACAATCGCCATCTTCCGTTGAGGCAACATGTTAGACGGGATACCTGGTCCTTGGACCTCATGGCCACTGATGTCACCTGTGGCAATGTGGGAGCTGGAAGACCTAAGATGGTAGCAGCTCCCTCTTGCCCTCAATTGCGAGGAATGACAACAAATAAATGTTTTCCCAGTAGTTACGGGCAAGGTGGGTGGGTTGGTTGGTTCAGCAGCTTTTCCAGCTGCCACAGAGTTTTCCCTCCTCTTGAAGTGAAAATATGTAATTTTGAGTCTCACTACTTGCAAGATGGTGGCAGCTAGGGGTGCTAGCCATGTCAACAGGGGTAGAAAGAGGGGTAAAAAACAGCCCACATTTGAGCGCTGCATTTCCGTAATAATGCCGGTCCACCACCACGGATTGGAACAACATTATCTGTTCAGCCCTAGTTGAACGAGGTATGAGACAGCAGCATGTCCATCCTTTCAGCAGCCGAGGCAATCAACCCAGGTATGTTGTCTCGCGTGTAGTGGTGGGCTGCCTGTGGTTCTTTGTCCCTAAAGGGACTCACCCAGTCCTCTGAGTCATAGATCCGGTGGTCATCGTCCTCATAGTCGCCTGGCTAGGACTTTGGCCTAAAGGCCAGATGAAATGCCGCCATGCTCGCACAGTTGGCCTCCCCCAGTTGACGAAGACCCAATTTGTGGGTGTCAGAGAGGAGCATGGGCGTGGCACAGCTGAGGTGAGAGAAAACAATGGTTGAGATGATAAAACTGTGAGTGGAAGATCCATGTGGTTGAATGAATAAGGGTGACGAGCTACGCCGGTGCAGGAATTATTTAAGGAGAGGGCACTGGCGGCCTGCTAACCAATTGGTCAGTGACTGTAAAGATCTTTCTTTTTTCAGGTTGCAGTGGCAGTGCCTTGGGGGGCAAACCAATAGCAAAGCCCATACGAAATAGGAGCTCATGTTTTCATGTCACAGATGACAAAGGAAGGCATTATTAGGCTTATTGGAGTTTAGTGTGCAGAAACAAATACTGAAATCAATTGACTGACAAAATCCTACATCGAGTAGAGCCCTGTACAAGGACACAAGGATACATTTATTTATCGTTAACACAGGGTTGTATAACAAGATTAAGTAGTAGTTTCCTTTATGCTACTCAAAATAATCCTTATATATAAATATATACATACATATATATGTATATACAGATACATGCAGATGGAACCCACCAAAAATTTACTTGGATCAGGATCAATAAGTCTGGGTACAGCATATGCAATGTCCTTTTTTTGGAAATCCACATATAAAATCTCATCCTTATCAAACTCAAACTGGACCTCAGTTGTGCCATTCACAAAGCAGCCCACAACATAGAGCACTTCATGAGGAACTGAAAAACAACACAAAAAAAATCAGTCACATGTTGGAAAAAGTTGTTTGTTTCAGACACTGACAAACAGACAAACATAAGAATATATCAACAATACAACAATATATTTTTATGTTTACATACAATTATTATTAATGTTATAAACTAGAATAAATGTTTATTAAATTTAAATGCCATTCTTACTTTGTGAGAAGGCACAGAAGCTGTTGAGCATCAGGATTATGAGAGCAGAGCGCTGCATGTCGGAGTAGATCTTCATTGTTCAAACTCTCAGTCAGAATGGAGCACTCTTTCATCTGTTACCAATAAGGAAACAAATACCATCACATGACCAGATCAGGTAGAAAACATGGGCAAAGTAAAAAAGTAACCAGAGAAAATACAGTCAGTTTAAGTTAATTATAGTTAAACTGTACTATTATAAATCGAAATAAATCTCAAATAAATCACTTTGTAGAGGGTCCGTGATGTTTTGGTCATTGGATTTTCCTTCAGAAACGGGTATTAAAAAACAGAAAAGAGTGGTTATTTGATTTTCCTTTTAAAATACAAAAATTAAAATTGAAATACAAGGCGTTTTTCTTTTCATGGTCAAAAAGGGATGAGCGAAATTAAAAAAAATATTCGATTTTCATTTTCTATTTCATATAACAAAAAATAAAATCACTAGAAAACAGAAACAGAAAAAGGCCTGTTTTTCATATTCTGAGACCGGATGTTGTCATTTACAGGACGGTGCTGTGTAGAAGAAACAGTAGGCTAGTAGACTGCGGTCAATCCAGCCGTGAGTCCGATCTCCGTGGTCAAATCAGCCGCACTTAAATTCAGAGGTACAAATATTCTCAGCATTATGGTAAATGCGGAAAACAGCGTATTACTTCTGGTTTCAAAATAAAGGTATTTAGAGCCGTAAGCTATAATTAAAATATGTTACATTTAAGTCTTGTGCCCCTGATGAATAAAAAAACACTTTATATCAAGT